TGAAGATCAAAGACCACAACCTTTGATGAGGGTTGCACCTTAAGGTAAAGAAAAGAAAAATCCTCTCCACTGGACCAATAAACAACATCCATACAAATGGAGAAAGATTGAAGTTGTCAAAGACCTCATTTAGCCTGGATCAACCATCAACACCCATGGAAGCAGCAGTCAAGAAATCAAATGTTGTATTGCATTAGACATATCTGCTGCACAAGACCTCTTTAAGTGTTGAAGAGTAAAGATGTCAGTTTAAGGATTTAAGATGCACCTGACCCAAGCCATGGTATTTTCAATAGCCTTATAGTTTGTGAAAGTTGGACAGTGAATAAGGAAGACCATACAAGAATTGATGCATTTGAGTTGTGGTGTTGGAGGAGAATATTAAAAGTACCATGGACTGCCAGAAGAACAAACAGATCTGTGTTGAAAGAAGTACAGCCAGAGTGCTCCCTGTAAGCCAGGATGGCCAGAATTCATCCTCATAGTTCAGACATATTCTCAGGAGTGACCAGTACCTGAAGAAGGATGTCATGTTTGGTAAAATTGAGGGTCGGAGAAAACCAAGAAGAACCCCCAATGAGATGAATTGGCACAGTGGCAGCAACAGTGGGCTCAAATGTAGCAACGATTGTGAGGTTGGCCCAGGACCAGGCAATGTTTCATTCTGTTGTGCATAATGTCACTATGAGTTGGTACCAACTCGATGGCACCTAACAACAATGCTGGTCTGGTGGCTCTGTGGGTTCTGTAAATCTGGCATCAAACCTGCCTTAATCCACAAGGCTCCAAACTCCTTTAGACAGCACATGATCTGTGCTAGGAGTTCATGAGACGGAGTCGCCATAACTCTGGTTACCAGGGGAGCATGGGGAGAAAGGAATCACACCTTTATAGTCCTCTGTGTGAATCTGTTCTGCCAGGCCACATTCTCTCACATTTGCTCACAAAAGTTCAAGACCATAGTGCCATAGCTGTTCACTAATCTCCCTCTCTTACTATCTCTGCTCTTAGCTTCTCCTCCCAGCAAGCACTCAATCCATTTCTCTAACCTTTCCTGTGAATTTCAGGGTTCCAGGATTTTCATCTGTCTGTATTATTTGGTTATCTTTGTTGTTCTTTGTAGAGAGTCTGTGTAATGCATCTGCCTAGTCCTCAATCTTTTGGGAAGTCCTGAACAATCATTCTTTTTTAAAAAAAAAAAAAAAAAAAAAAAATTCTATTGTGAATTGAGTGACATGGGAGAACATGGGTTTTACACTCATCCTATTTTGTTTCATTGCAATGATTACAATCCCCTCCGTGCATCATCATTTAACAGTATTTGCTTCTATTGCCTCTAGGTTTTTTGTTTTGGGGATGTACACAAAAACACTCAGGAATATATAATAATTTAAACAACCAAAGGGCACATTCTGCAAACCTGCCTCCTGGCCTCTAGCACACAGCCTTTCTCTTTCCATGAATCTAGAGTCCTCAGCTGCTCTCTTTCTCCATGTCCTCATCGCTGGTGTTGCTGCTTCTCTGGATAGGGTCCCACATTCCTGTTGTGCTCTTCTCCCTTTACAGTCTTAGAGCCCTCTTTGAACAATCACTCTTGTAAAAGGCCATAGATCCCTTTGGGAAAGGGTAGAATAAAAGCTAACAACTGGCAGTATAATGGGGGTCCTTCCTCCAGGGGCCCAACCCTTCATTCATGTGGTTGGTGGTCTCTAACCTGGCTGAAGTCTGGAAATTGATTGAGAGGTTGTAACAATTCTGGTGATTCAAATTAGACTGTCATTCACTTGACTCCAGTTCTTCCTCTTGTACTGATCAAGTAAATTATTTAGTAGGTTTCCCATCTACTTCTCTCCTAGGGACACCCTGCCCAATTAACCAATGCCTGGTGTGGCACTGTGGGTTAATGCACCAGACTGCAAAGCCATTTGAACTGCAAGGTCGGCGGTTCAAGCTCACCAGCTGCTTCCTGGAAAACCCTATACAGGGTTGCTATGGATTGGAATCAACTCAACAGCACTTCACAACAACAACAAAGTCCACAGGCTATTCTGATTATTACTTTGACTTTGCTATCCATTATGGTAACTATGCCTACTTTGTCAATTAAGTGCTGCCACTTGACCCTTAGCACCAGTAGGTCCTATCAGCCCCTTGTTAGTTATGTGTCTTAATTCAATTAGGGCAGTTCCCACTGTCAAATCTGGCTACATAAAGTAGCAATCATAGCAGTCTTCAAGGAGGCTGGGAACCCTTCACAAATTTGTTCCTCACTGTTGTAGTGAAAGGTGTATTCTCTGGGCACTCCATGTGTGTGGGCTTATGGGTTTCTCCTGATAAATTTCAGCCTAACATGCCAATTTTCCAAAGCCTTTGGATACCTTCCTCTACAGAATACCGAGATAGGACTGGCACTTCACCTTGGGTTAAGTAGGCCATCACTTAATCCACATGCTGTAGTGAACCAACCAAATACCCTTTCTATCTCAGACTGAAACAGTGAATGAAAAGATCTGTGCTGAGTGGGCCCGTATCAATAAATTCAGACGGATACAACTTGCACCATTATCCCACAATCTAATAGCTCTTTTGATATATTCTCCAGATTTCTATTTGTACATAGTAGAAAAATCAAGTAATTTTTTTATAGTACAGTGTTATTCCTATGTCAAATTTGTCCTTCACCTTTTGATGCTTGCTAGGTCCATTAGTTTTAAGTGCTGTCAAGTAGGTTCAACTCATATTGACCCTGTATAAAGTTTCTGAGTAGCAGCTGGTGAGCTTGAACCACTGACCTTCTGAAACAGTCCTTCTACAGCACCACACCAGGACTCCAGTTACAGGTCTAGAAGCAATGATCTGTGATGTTACATTTAGTTGTTACATTTAGTAACATCTTGCAAGAAATGCTCCAGTGTCTTAGACATCATGTCAGCAGGCAATTTGGTTAATCTTATCAAATGTGGGCATAGGGGTTAATGGTTCTACTGATAATGAAACTAGACACAAAGATGGGGAGTAATCTTCAGATGGGAAGGATGGTGCCATTGGCAAAAGTGATTCAAGTTTCTAGATTCTGTCCCCAGCTTCCTGATTATCTGCCTGTATACCCACATCCCAAATTTTTAAGATCCCATTTTTTCCCTAATCCCCTCATTTTAACATCAGACACCATTCCAGGCTAGAAATTCATTCCTGGTATAATTGTGACTCTTATAATAAAATTCTGGTTTTCCAGTATCATCTCCCCTACCACAAGAAAGGGGCTCTAATAGCGTAGTGGTTACAAATTGGGCTGCTAACTTCTCAGGGTCAACAGTTCAAAACTACCAGCTGTTCTGCTGGAGAAAGATGAGGCTTTCTGTTCCCATAAAGATTTAGCCTCGGAAACCCTGTACACGGTCGCTATGAGTAGGAACTGACTCCACAGCACATAATCACAAATAACCTTTCAAGGCACAAATGGAAACTTGATTATCTTTTATATGGCACTTGAGCTGGGAACTCCTTAGCCCTGAGATTAGTTGCTTTAACATTCTTCCTTTGAGAAACCAACTAACTTTATATTCATTCTGACAAAATTACAGAAAGGGATCATATGACTACCTAGAGCCTCCCTGCTAATACCTGAGCTACTAGGTGAGATTTTGCGTATTAACATTGCCATGGGTTATCAGCACCTGCACCTTTTAACTAGCAGCAACATGGTGCCTTTAGGAGCCAGATCTCAGTATGGGGATTAACTCCAGCTCTCCTGCCAGACAGGTGAGAATCAAGACCCTAACTATCAAAATCACATTGCTTACTAGACTGGTTAAGCTTTTATGTTGAGGTATAACCCACACTGAAAATTTGTCTTTGATCTTCATTAAGTGCTTATATCTTCACTTTCAACAAGCAATGTTGTATCATTTGCATTGGAAAATTGTTATTCCAGATGCCAAATTAGAAAACTCATCCCATGATCTTCTCTAGAACCACTCTTGGTACACATGTCTTAAACTGGGTTCTGTAGAGAAGTAAAACCAAACATACAATTGTAATGGTGGGTGGCAAAAAGTTTGGGTCAGATGAACCAACAGGCAGACAGATGTGAAAGACAGGAAGGCTGCTGATGACACTCAGGATCAAAAGGTCATAAATGTAAGTCAGACTCAAGTGCAAAGAACCAGAGGTTGGAGGACCAGCCAGATGCAATATCCAGATCCAGCAGAAGAGCAAAGCTTTGACTAAATGTCTTAATTAGGATATAAGCTACATCCTAGAGAAAGCACCTTTTGATTGGCTGCTCATAGCCAATAATTAACTACATCATACATTGTATTAGATCTCATGGGAATAACTCCATCTCAACCACTGGGAATCCTGGCCCAATCAAACGGAAAGCCTTAATTACTGTTTGCTGGTTCAGAGATAAGGATTTTTATGTCAAGGTGTAACCCACACTGAAGATTGTCTAGGTTAAGTGCTATGTCTTCATTTTCAGCAAGTATGGTTGATGAAAAGTTAAGGAAAGTCTCCCTGCAATTCAGATGTTGTCACTCTAGTCTTCTTGAGTGACATTTTTATCTCACAATGCTTCCAGGTGACATTTGAGTCAAATCTTGGGGAGAAATGACCTCTAATGGTGGTTTTTTGGCAAAGCTTTTATGTATGACCATTTAAACAGTATTGGGGAAACACGCTGTTATGAGCCAAACTGGACAGCACCTAACAAGTTAGTGTTTCAGAATTTAAAGCCAAATGATGCTTAAAACACTGTGTCCAAATACTTAACCCAAACAATAATAGACACAATTATTTCGTTTTATTTCATAACCATAAACATAACCCTGCAATCCAGCTAGACTTGGAGAATAAGGAAAATATGGAACCCATAGAACTGGAGTGAGAGTAAAGATTAAAGAATATTGCCAGCACACTGGGGGGAGAAGGGTGGTCCCCAAGCTACACAAGGAATGGTCTTGTGGTTAAGATAAAACACAAAATACAGATCAAACTTTCTAGAGTTGCCCACAGTCAGCAATGGTGATTTTCTTGCTGGTCTTGCCATTCCGGGACCCAAAACGCTCCATGGCTTCCACAATGTTCATCCCTTCTTTCACCTTGCCGAAGACCACATGTTTGCCATCCAACCTGGAGACAGAACTATTGTTATTACCACTGAACAGACAGTTTGCATTTTGTAGGGTTCCCACATATGAACATTGCAACCTATCATTCCATTTTAGAAGAGATTTTTTTTTAAGGGAGGTGGGGGTAGGGTGGGAGGCCAAACACGAAATTTTCCTGATAAAACTAGATAGACAAAAAGATGGTGTAAAAAAACTGTGGCTGGGAAACAAACACCCTTACCATTCAGTCTTAGCAGTGCAGATAAAAAACTGGGAACCATTTGTATTGGGTCCAGCGTTTGCCATGGACAGGATGCCAGGGCCCGTATGCGTCAGGATGAAGTTCTCATCGTCAAATTTCTCCCCATAGATGGACTTGCCACCAGTCCCATTATGGCGTGTGAAGTCCCCACCCTGCAAAGAAAAAAGATGCACTAGGGAATACAGAAAGTGCCTCGCCATAAGGTTCATGCGTTCAAACCACAGGAGAGTAACAAACAGCTCCAATAGGTACATTCTGGAAAAACTTGGCCCAATCCACGTAAAAAGCAACAATTTCATACCTGGCACATAAACCCAGGAATAATCCTGTGAAAGCAGGAACCTTTGTAACCGAATCCCTTCTCCCCAGTGCTCAGAGCGCGGAAGTTCTCTGTTGGGCGAGAAAGCAATAATCAACGCACAAACACAAACACACACCCCAGTGAAACTTGTTAAAGAAAACGAGGCACCACCAACCTGCCGTCTTGGGAACTTTATCTGCAAACAGCTGTTAAGAAAAAAAACACAGTTGACTCGCCTCTGCTCGCAGTCCCCGCCGCCCTTCGAATCCCAGCTTAAACCTGAGAGCCGGCCGCGGGCCCCGGACGAGCCGGCGGGCGCTCCTCGGCGGCGGCTGCCATCAGAACCGGCCCTTCCCAGCGCCGGGACCCAACCGACAGCTCCCGCGTCCCCGACACGCGCTCAGGGCGCTCTCCGACGAGCCACGCGCTCGCTTCCGGGCCCGCGGCCTAGCGCCTGGGCGGCCGCCCCGAAAACGCGACCAACACGTGCGGCGGCGGGTGTGCCCGCGGCTCCGGAAGGTCGCGCGCTGCCGATGGGGGAGGCGACGGCAGCCCGCCGGCGCCCCCGGAGCCTTTGTCTGCCCGCCGCCCGAGCCTTCTCCCTGCGTCTCGCCCGCCTTCCAAAATGGCCCCTTGTCAGGAAATGGCGCCGCGGCCACCCCCGCCCGCGCTCCCGGGTCGGCCCTTCCCCGGCCGGGACCGCAGGCTCAGCCCGGCCTCCGCCGCCATCTCCCCGCCTTGGGGCCCCAGCGCAGTCGTCACCTCGAAGCAGACGCGGCCCAAGGGTTCGCCGTCGGCGGCGATGTCGAAGAACACAGTGGGGTTGACCATGGCTGAACCCAACAGCAACAGATTCGAACACGAGCTCGGGCGACGGCGTCTGCAAAGCTGCAAGAGCGTGGCCGCACCGCCCCTTTTATAGCAGCTCTTGGATCCCACCCACCGGCTGGTCGCGCGCCCCGGCCTTCTCCAATCGCGACTGCGTCTCGTTCGGATTGATGGCTCTGCGGAGATCTCGGCGCCGGCGTGCATGGAAAGGGCGGGACGCAGGCGCGTGATGGACGGAAGGCAGGTTCCCGCCCGTGTGGCGCGTCGCTGTGGCTGCGGCAACTAGGCTGCTGGGGACCTTGCGGGAAGGACTGGGAGGGTTGCCCGGTAAGAGCGCGGAGACCTAGGCCCCGGCGCAATAGCGCGGGCTCGCAGCTCACACTGCCCCGGCCATGAGGGCTCGTCTCCCCATTGCACGGAGCGAACAACTGAGGCGAGCGTAGGCCTCAAGGTCGCGCGGCCCGTCAAGGTCAAGCACACGCCCCATCCTAGGAGATGGGGTCCCCGCTCGTCCCCGCCCCGCCCCGTCCGCCTGGAGAAATCCGGGTTCCTGTCCACATGTCGGCTCCAGGGCGCAGGCAGGGCCGAGGAGGGCACGGATACAGCGAGAGGAAACAACGTTGGCACAGGTCCTAGACCGAAACACCACAGCGCAACCGTGAAACCCTCCCCAGGTCCTGGCCTGTCCCAGCAGCACCTTCCTTGTCTGCCGGGGCCCCTCCCAAACCACTAAAGATTAAATAAACCCAGAGCCCAGCCCGTTCCCTGATCTGTGATACAGACAGTGTGCACAATTTAATATGAAAAAATAGTAGCAAACGTCTGCTTGATGTCCGAAAGGAAGATATTAAACCCAGAGCCGGCCCGTTCCCCGACCTGTGATACAGTGTGCACACTTTAATATGAAAAAAATGATAACAAACCTCTGCTTGATGCTCTCCGAAAGGAAGATATTAAACCCAGAGCCTGGCCTGTGATACAGACAGTGCACACTTTTAATATGAAAAAATAATAAACCTCTGCCTCATGTCCTCCGAAAGAAAGGTGTTAAACCCAGAGCCCTGCCCTTTCCCGGCCTTGAGGATAGAATTGTGCCCAGACTTCCAGTGAAAAACAGCAGTTTAAAAGTGACTTCCCTTGGGCAAAAATAGGAATAATTTTATTGCTGTTGTTGTTAAGAGCTATAGAATCGATTTCCACTAACAGTGACCCTGTCTGTATAGGGTTTCCCAGGAGCGGTTGGTGAATTTGAACCGCCTATTTAATGGTTCAAACTGCTAGAAATGAATCCAGATGTCGCATAAAAGACACTCGGTGAGACTAAATTACCTTGGCAAAGTAAAATTTACTCTTGCAAGAGGGGGCGTGCACATAGCCGTACATACACGAACAGACCAGCGAGCACACCGAGTGGGCCGTCCACTAGGGTTTTTAATCCCTGACGGGAGTATCAAAGCTGTGTCTCACCCTATTGGCTAGGATTTTGACCGCACAATCTATTCCCTTACTCGGTTGGCTAGTTCAAATTTTTAAGGCGCACATTGCTACTTTAGGAAAAGAAGAAGAGAGCAATTATAGTCTTAGCTCCAGGAAGTAGTTTACTGAAAAAGAAAGTGATCATAAATTCCTTACTCCAGGAAATAGTTTAAAGAAAAAGAAGGTGATCATAAATTCTTTACTCACTTCAGGAAGTAACCAAAGAAAAAGAGAGATCATACAGTCTTTACTTAAAGAAATACAAAAAAAGTTACCCGAATACAATAAACAGGATTATAATATTTTTTTCCCCAAAATTCCCCCCCTTTTTTTTTAGGAAGTAAAAGGAAAAAAAGTCACATGAGTACAATAAACAGGATTATATATATATATATTTTTTTTCTTTTTAGACTTCTTCATTCTTCAAATTTTGCAAGGAGATGTTGACTTTGGTGTTCATATGTTTCTAGGTGAAAAAGGTTATTTTCGTATGGGGGTGGGGGTTTGGATAGGGCTGTTTCTATGAGTTTTAGAACTAATTCTCTTATACAGGGTATGATACAGCATCCCATTAGTGTTAATATGCCAAATATGATAATTAGAGAGGTGAAAACGGAAGTCATAAGCCCTTTCTATTTCTCGAATCATTGTTCTATGATATTAGAAAAGGGGTCATCTATGCCTGAATTTTCAGCAAGTTCATTAGCTAAGGTGGTCAGCCCTTGTAATGCTTTGGTAATGGTACCATCAGGACGAAAGTACAACATTGGAGTTCGATCATGACACATACTCCTCTTTTTTCTGCTAATGTCATATCTAGGCTAATTTGTTTTCCTAGGCCATTTTACTAGTAGGTCCTAATTGTTCTGCTATTCCCTTTATAGCATCTCTGGTATAATTTACAAATCTTTGTTGATTATAATAGATGTAGTTAATCCAGTCTATATTTTTGTTAATGGTTG